CACTAAGCTCTAGAGGTCCCAGGTTTGATCCCATCTGTCGGCGTTACATGCGCCAGCCACGTCCCATTTGGAGAATGTGAGTGGCACATGGGCCCTCCTCCAGTGGGAAGGAAAGGAAACAGAATCAGGCCAACCTGGGTGAAAGAGGGATTTCTTACTGTTCTATTTATTTCAGATACCACGGGCCAGATACTCAGTGGTGTGGACTGACAGGTTCACCGAAGGCAATGCGACCGTGCCAATTTATACCAGTTGAGGATCTCTCTTCCTCGATTTAAAGAGCAGTGGAAAGGAAGGGCAGATCTTCCAAAACTGGGTGTCTGGGCAAGAAAATGGCAGACGAAATTCAATGTTGATAAATGCAAAGTAATGCACATTGGAAAATATAATCCCAACTATACATATAACAGGATGGGGTCTAAATTAGCTGTTACCACTCAAGAGAGAGTCATTGTGGATAGTTCTCTGAAAACATCTGCTGAATGTGCAGCGGCAGTCAAAAAAGCGAACAGAATGTTAGGAACCATTAGGAAAGGGATAGCTAATAAGATTGAAAATACCATAATGCCTCTAGATAAATCCATGCTATGCTCAGACCTTGAATACTGAGTGCAGTGCTGGTCACCCCATCTCAAAAGAGATATTAGTACAGAGAAGGACAACAAAAATGATTAGGGGTATGGAACAGCTTCCACATGAGGAGAGGTTAAAAGACTGGGACTGGTCAGCTTAAAAAAGAGACAACTGAGAGGGGATGTGACAGAGGTCTATAAAATCATGACTGGTGTGGAGAAAATAAATAGAGAAGTGATATTTACCCCTTCACATAAACACAAAAACCAGGAAGCAGGGGTCACCCAATGAAATTAATAGACAGTGGGTTTAACATAATGAAGTACTTTTTCACACAACGCACAGTCAACCTGTGGAACTCATTGCCAGGGGATGTTGTGAAGGCCAAAAGAATAACTGGATTCAAAAAAGAATTAGATCAATTCATGGAGGAGGGGTCCATCAATGGCTGTTAGCCAAGATGGCCAGGGATGCAATCCCAGGCTCTGGATGTCCCTGAACCTCTGACAGTCAGAAGCTGGGACTGGATGATGGGATGAATCAATTGATAATTGCCCTGTTCTGTTCATTCCCTCTGAAGCACCTGGCACTGGCCACCTTTGGAGGCTAGGATACTGGGCTAGCTGGCCCATTGGGCTGACCCAGTATGGCCGTTCTTATGCTCTTCAAACTAGATCACTGATCAGGGCTGGCCTGGGTTTTTTGTGTCTCTTGCATTCACAGAGGTCACCCTACACCCCTGTTTGCAGTTTGCAGCCCTGGCTATTAGAGGCAGTCTCTAAAACTGTTCTATGATATATTGTGCTGTATTTCATTGCAGGACCCACAATGGCAAGCAGAATATAGTCCTCTGCTGGGATTTCTGGGGGAATCTGTGTAGGGCTCCTGTTGGGATTCGAGGAGAAGATTTAACTCAGAGCGGGGAGGCGTGGGCAAGAGTGAACTGAATCTATCAGACAAGGAAGCAAAAATAGACTCAAAAAATGGGAGGACTGTAGTGATGTTACTTCCCAAAGTTGCAGCAAGTGCCTCTGAAGCCGTTTAAAGATTTGGGGCCAGATTCTCAGCTGGCGTCAGGGAGATAGCGCCACTGGAACACCATCGATTGAACCCAGCTGAGAATCTGGCCTTGATACTTTTCTACCCGGAAGCCTGCCCAGAAAAAAACAGTGAGGTGAACCCTGCTGAGCCCCTTGTTAATGAAACTTGTGCATTCAAAGAATCGAACTTGGAGCTATGGTGCCCGCGCCGATTTGACTGGCCCCTGGAAGCTGTGCTCGTTAAAGAAAGATGTTCAGAGTTGTCGGGCTTCGTCAGAAAAGCAGGCGGGGGTGTGGCTCGTGCACTGTTACTTAAATCCTCCAGCCCAATGCATAAAAATAAACATGTGCCGTCAGATTGTTTGCCCTACTTCTCCCTGATCGGTGAAATTAAAATGCCAGTGGCAGAGGCGAGTATTTTAGCAAAGGTTGGGCTTGATTTCGGAAGCTTCCAGACTTATGCTCCTTTAATGAACTTGCAAACCGCATGGAAAGGAAGGGAAAGGCAGGGAGAAACCGAGAGCCAGGTGCAAGGGGCAGCCAGGCCTGCTGAATAGCTATTGCAGGGAGGGGGACAGGTGGGGGAGGAATCACTGAGCCCAGAGAACCCCGCACAGCGCCCCCCAGCACTCACGGGTGTCAGGAGTCAGTGGACACCACCCAGAGGAATCCAGCTTGGAGGCGTGATCGGATGAGGGGCTGGGAACAGGCGCCGCAGTCACAGAGCCACCCCCCCCCCCATCCAGCTTCCTCTTCCTGGAGGGAGGGGTGTCTGTCTTGGCCAGTGCCAGGAGGAGGTTGACAAGGAGATCTCATGACTTTGTGGGGCGACGGAGGGGGTGTATGCTAATAGGGGTGACGGATTCTTCCTAAAAGTGGGGGGGGGAGGCACGAGTCCCCGCCCTCTCCATGGCCCCACCCCACTGCTTTTCCCTGGCCAAGCCGGAGCTGAGCAGAGGACCCCAGGCCCCTCCACCTGCCTGGGGTGGAGGGTCTGTGGCTTCCCACAGCTGCCCACGCAGCGCTTACCCGGACCTGGCTTCGGCTTCTGGCCTGGCCGGGGGTGGGGTCTTGAGGGCCAAAGAGCTGACACTGGGCCATGAGCAGCACAGGCAGCTGTGGGGAGCCGTCGACCCTCCAACTGCCCTGGGTGTGGGGGGGGCTGGAGGTGGGGACACAGAGCGGGGGCTGCTTTTGGGACCCCCCACCCCAGGCGGGTGGAGGCTCCATGGTTCCCCGGGATGGGGGGCAGGGCCTGGGGGGAAGAGGAGGGGCAGGGGGTCAGGGTCCAGGTGAAAAGTGGATGGGCTAGGACCCCACGACCTCCCCGTTCCAGTCCCCCTGACGCTAATCCAGGAGGTGCAGGGCAAAGTGCAGCCAGACTCTCATTGAGACATGGGGGAGCAGGAAGAGGGGCTGCAGCCAGGCTGTGACCCGCGCCAGATACACACCCATGCTCCAGGCTTCACGGTGGAGCCGCCCGCCAATATCCCCGGCAGGCCGGGACCCAAGGCGGGTCATGCGTGCCATAGAGGGAAGGCACTCGGAGCCTGCCAAAAACCAAAGGCTGCACCACCAGCAAACCACAGGACGCCATCCCTCCGTAGTGAATTCATTCATAAACTGTTAGCAACCGAAGCCTGTCGCTGGAGCACACCGACCAATCTGCTCCGTGATTTATAGGAGAAGCCTTTAATAATAACAATCACCCCCCTGCCCGGCACACCCCGCCCCCTCATCAATCCACAGGGCGCCGCAAGGCAGCAAAAGGCTATTTCCCCGATCATTTATGGCAGGCTCTTTATTAATTTGCACGCCTAGATGTGATGCCCGAGGCTCGGGGGACTGATCAATGGAACACATAAATAGAGCGGTGTAATTGGACCAGCCTCTTTCTGGCTGGCACGGTGGGCAAAGGGGGTGCTTTATTCCTTAACAGGTCTGCGGGTTTCCTCCAAAGGCAGACACGGGGCTTTTAATTAAAAGCCGATCGCCTCCTGAAAGGTTTGCTGGGACAAGCCCTGGTAAGAGGGCGTCATTTGTGTCGCCCCCTCCCCCCCATATGCAATTTCTTTCAGTGCACTTGCCAAATATGCAAAGACGGTCTAAAAATGCTGGATGGGTGTGCCAGCCTGGGCTGGGTTTTGTGAATGGAGAAGGCTCGTACACTGCTCAGGGTTTCAGAAGGGCTCCACGCAGCGGGATATTCAGCCAGCACATTGGGGGATCGCTGCTCCCCGCAAACAGCCTCGCTTTGCCAAATAACCCCCCCCCCTCTAAATCCTGGAGGGTCTTCCACCGAGTGCTTTCAAAGCAGGGTTAGCATATGCGAGGCACGGTGCTACCAGCTAGCCCCCTCCCTCCACTGCCTGTGCTTTTCAAAATCACCAAAAAGCTCCTAAATTCCACGGTCCACATCCTTCAGAGTTCAGCCCCAACCAGCCCCTTATGACGACATTGCTAATTCTTTGGGAATGGATCAGAACAAGAATACCGACACGTTTAACAGGAAATGGCTGTACATGGAAAAACCCCACAATCTCTCTCCCCCCCCCCAGATTGGCTGTAGAATGCCAAGTATAAACGAAGCAATCTTTCCAAATGTCACCCCTCAACTCGCTGACTTCAAAATGAATAAAAGGGCCTTGGAAAGATGGGCTTGGAATTAATCTCAGTTCAAAAGGAGAGAGAGAGAAAAGCCAGTGCATTCAAGCAAAGGTGCAAATCACGCCTCGCTACAAAAATAGCTAGCCAAAAAAAACCACAGTGAAAATCAATTCTGGTCTAAATGAGCAGTGCAAATGCTCTGCACAGGATTAAGCATCATTGCAGAGAAAACAGCTCTCGGATTAACCCACATTCAACTGCCCTCTTTAAATCCCAACAGTTAGACTCTAGCGTGGAATAAATACCAACCCAACCCACCCGCAACAATCGCTTCCAAACAAACCCACAGATCTGTCACTACAGGGGGGCAGATAGGGGCCATTCAATGCACAAACATATTTGCGGGTCTTGCCCCGATTTCCACAGACTTCCTCCATTATTACAAAGGCATCCTAAAGACAGGCACATGCACGTCCACAAATTAGCCATGTGCTGAAGGTGGGAGAGACGGAGATTGTCTTTCAGCTGCCAGAGTGGATCATTTATTAAATAGCCCCATTTCACACACACCCCAGACAAATTCCCTCTGTTCGTGTCTGTTTCTAATGCTCTGTTCCCGCAGACCTCAGCTGGGCTCAGATAGACACGGAGTCACTGGGTTGCAACACAGACAGTTCTGCTCCCAGCTGTTAAGAAGCCTGGCGGTATGGATTGCACAGAGCCATCAAATCGGTGTGCACAGCTATATAAATATATACCCCCGGCTGGTCCTTTCCTTACCTCCAACGCAGAGCAAAGACATGTTACGTCCTCTTGTCTGCTACCACAGCGGCTCCAGGGGACTTCCGAGTGAGCTGTTAGCTGGGTGCCTGCTTGGGAAAGGGTGTGTGCTTGCTAGAAAATTGCATACTGCTCCATCTGCCTCTGTGTGGGCTGCCCCTCACTCTGGGCGCTAGCAGCCAGCCATTTTGTTCCAGCACCAAGGCCTATGGACAGCTCCTGACGTCAAGCTGATGAGAGGCAGGAGGCGGGTGTACTGGGGGCACCTGATTAGTTGGGGTTGGGTCTATTCTTAAAGGCACCCGAGCTGGCTGTCAATGGACGTGTCTGTATGAATAATGCACATCCATAGACTCCCCTTGGCTCGCCAACGCCCAAAGCACTCGCAGGCCGGGGGCCAGCGACCATTAGTACCTGGCTCTGGGACCAGATCGCCCCCCACCCCGCAGCGGTTCACCGGAAACCTGCTCATTTCCCCTCTGATGCATGACTTGGGGGGCTTTCTGGGGCTGTCTGTGCGGGGGGGTCTGGGGAGGGGCCTGCTCCGAAGAGCACCCTGTCCAAAGAGCGTCAGAGGGCTGGGTGTCTGGGTCTGGCGCTCATTCCACATCAGACAGAAAGATCCCTGCTCTCCGCCCCCCAAGAGGTGAGGGCCAGAGTCACTGCTGAGGTAAAACAGCGTGGATCTGCTGGGCTGGGGCCCTGAGTCTCTGTGGCGCCCTGCACCCTGCCTCACAAACATTCGCCTCCCAGAGCCCCTGCTGGGTCGGCAAGTATTAGCGTCTGCCCCATTTGACAGAAAAGAAACTGAGGCACCGGGACTAGTCCAAGGTCGCACACATTTGTAGCAGCTCTTGGAGTGGGTCGCGGGTCTTCAAAATGCCAGTCCACTGGCTTAACCACAAGAACATCCTTCCCCCTCTTCCTGGACCCTCCCCCCACCCCACGGTGCTATCTTGTGACCTCATCACCCCTCCTGGCTGGGAGAATGGAGCAGCACCCAGCCAACGGTTCACTCAGCTCACAAGCTCTGTAGGGCCGGGACCGGCTCGTTGTTCGGTGTTGGTCCAGCACTTGGCACAGCGGGGTCCCGGTCTGCATCCGGGGCTGCCAGGTGGCACCGCGGCGCACGTAACAAACCAGAATAATCAAACACCAGCCCCAGCGGCTGCTGTCCTCCTTGTGCGTTTTCATCCCCACTCCAGATTCCACGGGCCCAATCCTGCCCCGAGTGTGCAAAGCCCACTGCCAGGGTGTGCAGTGGGGGGAGGTCACAGCGGCATACAGACCCAGCAAGGGTAGATATAAAAATCAAACGGGTCCTGAGCAGCACGCTTTAAGCACTCCCGTACTAACGCTGCTACCCCCAGCTCCTGCCAGACCCACCCCTTTCTTCAGACCACTTTAAGCTGCGACAGGCTCTGCCCCTGTCACTGCAGGTCACAGAACAACTCTGAAATGCAGGCCAGATGAGGCCTGCCAAAGCTCTACAGAAAGGGGGCCTGGCCCGTCTGCTGGCCGTCTGCGCAGGGGCGAATTTCCCACCCCGACAGCAACTCCTCCGGGTACGACGGTGCCATTTGAACGTTGTCACTTTTCAGCAAAGAGCTGGATCTTAGGAACCAACCAAAATCCCTGGCTCCTCGTAGCATTGTTTTCTTGCACCCTTTCGGACCCCTCTCCCCCAATGGTGGCTCAGCCTTCCAGCCCTCTGCCTCGTCCATTGCGTGGCTTGGGGGGGCAGGTTTTCCCTCAAGCCACCTCAGCGCCACTTTCGGCTCTACGTAGCCCCTGAAGAGTCGCTCGGATGGCTGGCTTACTCAGCTGCTGACCTGATCACGTGTCTCCATGATTCAAAGCCCCCCAAGGCTGCAGTGTCTGAATCTCCCAAATAGGGATGAATTTCCCCCCAAGCCAATGGGTCAGTGGGATTAACCTCATTTAACAGACGGAGAAGGACATTACGAAGTCAAAGTCCCACTGGTGCCTTACCTACAAGGCATCACAGCCACCCTCTGGTAGCCCCAAGGAGCCAGCTTTTGGGGTCTCCTCTGGCAGGTTCGCACGCTGCTCAGCATGGCCCGAAGGCCATATATGGAGTGGCTAGGACGCCCTAGTGGGCAAGGTGTCGGTGCTGGCTCAGGGGCACACCTGGAACCTGATCCCCTGTTGTGATCTGGGCCCGGTAGCGGGGAAATCCTGGCCCTACGCCAGCCCCTTGGCAGTCCCCAGTGTAGCTGGGCGGGAGGGTATAGGAGTGGGACTGAGGACGTGGCTGGAGCACTGCTGCAGCCTGGCTATTCCTAGGTACTGGAATAGCCCCTTGGGGTCTCCTTGGGGCCCTAGGCAGGCGAATTAGGGCAGCGAGACTGCTGTGTTGAGGGCAGCCCCCACCACATGGGCAGCTCGTCAGGGGCGGAAAGCCCTGAAGTCTCGAATTCATATACTCCAAGGCCAAGAGGGACCGTTGTGATCACCTGGCCTCAGCCCCCATATAACAAGCCTGAGAGCTTCCCCAAATCGCTCCTAGAGCAGGTCTGTTAGACGAACATCCAGTCGGGCTTTAAAACTTGCCTGTGATGGAGATGCCACCACGACCGTGGATAAATTACATCCACAGAACAGACCCAGCATGGGGCGGGGAGCAGCTTCCTCTACCGTACCCAGACTGTGGTAAGGGCGGGGGGCTCTGCTTCTGGTCTGGCTCAATCCTTGAGCTCCGTGCAAACATGAAGGTGTATTTCTTGATGGGGGCAGGGAGGACAACAAACATTTCCAGAAGAGACTCCAGATTTTGGGGGTTCAACTTGAGATGACTTAAAAAGGAGCTGATTTTCAGATGTGCCGAACACACGCCTGATGGAAATCCAGCGCTTTTAAGGCATCTCCTGTTGAGGACCCAGGAACCAAGGCAGCCAGAATCACTGGTCACTTTTAAAAACATGGGCCCTGACTGCTAGCCAATCAGCTGAGACTGGACACTTCATTACATATATGACACCTAGTGGCTTGCAGCAGCTTTGATTGTTAATCCAGTGGTCTAGGTTCACACTAGTGACTCCGACAGCTTCTTACAGTCTGATGTGGAGAGAGACTGGGATTTCATCCGGCTCATCGCTGTGGCCGTTGCTTCAGAAATAGGCTGAGATGTGGGCATCTCAGGAGCTAGATTTTTTATTTTAATATTGTCTCATTCCCTTTAAAATTCCTACCTTCCTGCTGGCTTATGTGGAGCCGCTGGAAATATGTTTAGGAGGAAATAAAAGCAAAAGACACACCTAGGGCCTGAGTTTTCCCTGCTTTGCACTTTGGGTCACCCTATACACCCAGGGGAGCAGGTCGCCATGGCTGCACAGGGATGGCCCGGTGGGCAGAGCCCGGGTACCAGTGTTCCATGGGCACTCGGCTGCTCACTCCCTGTCTCCTTGGGTGAGTCAGTGGGAGTTAGGTGCCTAGATACATCTGAGGAGTTGGGCCTCAGTTTCCCACCTGTACAATGGGGATGACGGGCCGGGCCTGGCTCCCAGGGCTGTTGGGAAAGTGTGAGGTGCTCAGTTGCTCTCGTAATGGGGGTCAGATACATGGGCAGCGGGTATCAAAGGCCAGGGCAGGCTAAGCCTCCCCGACCCAGCCTGTGGCCCCGCCCATGTTCCGCCCCCAGGCCCCGCCCTCCTTCTCCTTCTCCCCTGAAGCCGGTAGGGGCTCGGGCCTGTCGCTGGCCAGGGGCTTGGGCCAGCCTGGGGGTCGGCCAGTGGCTTGGGCCGGCGCTTGGGCTGGCTGGCGGCCCACCGCTCGGGCCAGCTGGCGTGGCAGGCGGGCCGGGGCTCCTCTGGCCACAGGGGGAGGGGAGCTCAGGGGTTCACCTGCTGCCCATGGTCATATAAGCACCTAAGATCGATTTTGCACATGATGCAGGACACAGGGGAGAATGAGCTACTGCCTAAGGGTCATGTTCACAGCTATTAAGGCCAGAAGAGACCCTTCTGATCATCTAGTCTGATCTCCTGCATAGCAAAGGCCAGAGCATGCCACAGAGGAGCTCCTGCAGCCAGCCCATACCTTGTGGTTGAGCTAGAAGCGTCTTTTAAAAACGATCTCGATTTAAAGGCTCCCAGTGATGGAGAATCCACGACGTCCTGGCTCAGGCCAGCCCATCCTGCTCTTAGCGCTCGGCAGTAACCGCGCGCCCCAGCGCAGATCTCCGAGCCACTTTCAAATGAAAACGGTTGGGTTGGGTTTTATTTTAACCCCCAAACTACCCCGCCAGTCTGACCGTGTTAACTCAGACAATCCATAACTCATTACGGGGTGTATTGATCTGCCCAACTGCAGATCAGTCTTAATGCCAGGCGACGGGAAGCCAAGAACATTGCGGTGTCCTTCTAACACGCATTCACGCTCGGTGTTTGCAGGAAGAAAGATTGATTGGAAATCAACAAGATGGGACAGTCAGCGGCTCCTGTGTTCATAGAACGAAGGTGGCAGTAACTTCCTTTGGGTTTTTTCGTTTAGCCGGATTCTCCATTGGCCTGTGCGGTAGGCAGTCATTTACTGCAGGGCAAACTGGGAGTCAGATGCTATGCTGTCAGAACGGCAGCTTTCACACCCACGTTGCATGGGTATAACCGACTAGACCAGGTGCAAAGCAGCTAAGAAGAGGCCCCGAGGCTGAACTGGGGCCGCGAACTCTCTAATCGCACAAAACCGAACACCCTTTGCCCCGCCCCTTGCCCGAGGCCCCGCCCCTGCCCCGTCCCTTCTCTCAGGCCCCGCCCCCGCTCGCTCCATCCCCTCTCCCTCCGTCACTCACTCTCCCCCACCCTCACTCACTTTCACTGGGTTGGGGCAGAGGGTTGGGGTGCAGGAGGGGGGTGAGGGCTCTGGCTGGGGGTGTTGGCTCTGGGGTGGGGCCGAGGATGAGGGGTTTGGGGTGCAGGAGTGGGCTGGGGCAAGGGGTTGGGGTGTTGGGGGGGTGTGGGCTCCAGGAGGGAGTTTGGGTGCAGGAGGGGGCTCAGGGCTGGGGCAGGGGGTTCAGGGTGCGGAGGCCTAGCGGCACTTAGTGCAGCGCCGAAGAAGCAACCGGCAGGTCCCTGCAGCCCCTAGGCACATGGGCCACCAGGGAGGCTCCGTGCGCTGCCCTCGCACCCACAGGCGCCGCTCCCGCAGCTCCGCGGGGCACAGTTCCCAGCCAATGGGAGC